CATAGCAAACATGAACAAAATGATTTATAAACTGACTATAACTACAAACTAAACAAATTCTACTCAAATTAATTCTAGTTTTGCTTTCTCAGGCGATCCATGTGCATAAAACTGAAATTTAAACAGGTTCGGCATTTTACCGGTAAACCGGAAAATCAATGCATAAATTAACTTGTCAGAAGTGTGAATTGCCTCCTGCCAGTACGGTAACGGCCTTGCCGGTACGGCTAATGACCTTGGGTACGGTAAAGCAGCGGCCGGTACGGTAAAGCAGCGGCCGGTACGGTAAAGCAGCGGCCGGTACGGTAAAGAAACGCATGCCGCAGGAGACTCACAGGAAACCGGCTTGGTGGTAATGATCAGTTCCCTAACTTATTATATTCTGTAATACAGCCGACACACAAGACAGGCAACTGGCCAAGATATTAGCACAACTTGCTGATGAGAGTGGCTTGGAAGATGACAGTATACTATCAGGGACAAGTCAAAGTCAGAAACTTGAAAGCAGCCAATCAACCCCTCAGAATTTACAACAGAAAGAAGAGAATGAAAGGGAGCTGGAAGAAAGTATATTGATGTCGCAGATATGGGATGACCCTGACGAGGATGAAGTGCTTTCTAAGCAACAGGAGGATAGTGTTGATGATGATGGTGATTATGTTATTCCACAAGTTGATGGTGGTGCAGATGATAAAACAGGTGAGCATTTCTAATGTGTCATCTCAACTCTGGTAACCCATAGTCATCTTTCACAGAATAAATCTGTGTGATATGACCTATTGCCAATGAGAAATTATGTAAATTTGAAAAACTATTATGGGTTAATTGTGGCTGGACATTTCTATTCAATGTTTGTATTGATTTAATGATTTCTATATCTATGGGTATCGTGTATTATAAATTACCCTAACACAACAAAAGTTGATACTACAGTAAAACTGTTCAACAAGTGTAGCTTATTTGTTTTTGCATTTCACCCTTAGAATCTGAAACATCTAATCCGAAGAAGATATGTGGATTAGAAAAGACCAACATGCGAACTGCAGAAGATGGAACAGAACAGTGTGATACAAATAAATGTGAGAACAAAGTTGTGATGGATAATAACTTAGATGGTTTCTCTGAAATAGACACAACAGCTCAGAAGACGTTTCTGAACTTGGACAATATTAACTTGGCTAATTTGCAGGAGGACTCTGTTGTGATAAGTCCAAGCAAGGTTAAATCTACTACCTCATGTCAGAAAAGCAAGAAACGTTACAGCCATTTGAGTGGGAATGTGACTCCTAGAAAAAAATCTGTGTCTAAAACTATATTAAGTACACCTCCTAAAGATGACACCTTATCACTGGAGTCGATGCTGACTAATGTTAGACGATCAGCTTCTAAGATTTCTATGACCATTCCATCTATTGATTTAGAACCCGTTGTGTTAGGTAGTAAACCACCAATGTGCAAGAACACTAAACAGCAGAGTCTACGAATGGAGCAAAAAAGAGCAAAACTGAGCAGGAGGCGGCAGCTTGTGTCTGATTTTCCATGTGAACGTATGCAATTACTTTGTCCTGAAGATAGTAATCTCCCAATTTCAGTAACTTTGCCAGTCACTCAAGAAAATTCCATTTTTTCCAATCAAAGTGTGCCTATAAACATTGGGGATGGAAATATACCATGTACTGATAAAGCATTGCCTGTGGTTGATCAGAATCAGCCAAAAAATGACGATGTCAGTATTGATGACATCCCTGTGAAAGTAGTTACCCGGAGAAGTAGCAGAAGATCTAAACAGTCATTAATGAGACGGCGACTGTCTTTATCCAGTGACAGTAGTATGAGTGAGAGTAATTGGAATCGTAGAAGTGATGAAGATTACAGAGAAGATGAAGAAGATGCTGAAGATGATGATTTTGTTATAGAAACAAAAACACTTAGGTCAAGAAAAAAGACCAAACCAAAGAAACAAGGCACTGATTGCACTAGTAGACCATATACGTTACGAACAAAAAGAACGCGAAGTTCAACCGAAGTAGATGTTTCTTTGAAATACCCCGCTGACAATATGAGTGTTACTTCCTGCAAGTCTGAGAAATCTGAAAAATCAGTCAGGTCTGAAAAGTCAACGAGGTCAGACAAGTCAGGTAAATCGGAAAAGTCTGAGTCCTCTGATGTTTGCACACCACCGCGAAAAAGGAAAAAAGGAGAGGCGATTCCCGGCATCCATTACATAATTGTTAATAAATTCAAAGGCTATAAAACAATGAGGGTTCTGGTAAACAGAGTAAAACCAATTTCCTCTGTTAAGGTCACCAAGAAGATGCTCCAGGAGATAAAAGAAGGTTTTGAGAAGGAGAAAATTAGGGTCAGACCATCATTGCCAAATAAAGAAGTTACCATTCATCAGATTAAAAAAAGAAGAACCAATTCACAAGGTTCTGGTCAGACCAAACAGGGTAAGGAGAAGGGTAAAGATATTGAGAGAAAAGAAACTGATGATACTGATGGTGGTGATGACGACGATGTGGGTCTTGAAAAAACTTCAATTCCAGAAGGAGATGAAGAAGGTGTTTTTCCAAGGAGACAGAAACCTATCTATGTTAGGCAGTACTCTGGAAAGTTCCCAGAGGCAAAGATGCAGGCTGATCTGGTGTTTTTTGATCGCTATGAATTTGATAAGAATAGTGATGGTTCACAAGGAGAAGAGGGTATCCAAGAAAAAGAGGGGAACTTGAGAAAAGAGAACTCTGATGCTGCAACAGAGAATGAGAACCAAAAGAGAACTAGGAAGCTTCGTACATGTACAAGAAGGAAATCATCAAAGTCTTCTGAGACAAAGCACAGGAGAAGGTCTTTACGTCCCAATGATAGTCATTTTGAACCAATGTTTGATGAAGAGCATGATGATAGTAATACAATATTAATGGACACAATGTGGACTTTGTCTTATTACTCTCCTCACAACTCTGACAGTGGGGAGATGTCACCACCAAGATGCTGGTCACCGGCTGCTAAGGATCGTATCAAGGGTTCTCGTGGGAGGGGCAAATCTAATCGAGGACGCTCTAAAAGTCCCAAGAGTCCCCGACGCAAAGGTTCCAGTCCCAGGAGTTGTGAAGACGAAGACACCAATGCATTATTGAGTGATCTACATGAAGTCTTATATAATGCAGAAGGTTTGGATGTGCGGGTTGACAAGGAGTCAATGATCAAAGAAATTGAAAACTTTGAAAAAATTCCTGAAGATGCCTTTGAAGAAACTATCTCGCATTCTATAGGGAAAATTGACTACATTGACTCAATCATTAGAGATTGTAGCAGTGCAAACTCTGTTGAAAGTAGTAGCTCTGTTGCAAAAAACAAAAAAGTCAAAGGCAAAGGTAAGGTGAAGAAGGGAAAAGGGAAAAGCAAAGGAAAATCAAGTGCTGGACAGGGTTGCCCAAAGATGTGCACAACTCCACCTGTAACAACTGCATCAGGAGGTAATACTGAGTACACACAAGCAAGTTCTGTTGGAGCTCCAATCCAAGTAAACCCTTTATCAGCTGTTGGACAAAGCACGAGTCAAATGCCTTCTCGATCTTCTGGGGTACAAAACCAACCACCTCCTCCTTACCAAGCACCAAGACCCCCTTTCAGTGGCTTCTCTGAAAATCAAAGCTATTCACAAAGAAATCAGTATCCACAGTCTACTTTCATGGGGCCAAATACCAGTACAAACACTTATCAAACATCATATCCGAATAATTACCAACAGCAACAAAGCAGTACATTTCCTCAACAGGGGTATTCCAGAGACAGACCTGGACCCCTTCGCATGCCTTCTCAGCAAAGTAACCAGGTTCAATACGACCTTATGTCACCACCATACATGGAGTCAGACCCAAACACTTCATACTCATCTCAAGGGAATTTTTCTGAGTTCAGGAATAATCAATATTCCCAGGATAGAATGCATCTGGCCCCAACAACTCCAACTCCGATGGTTGGACAACCATCTCCAAGTTACAATCAAGTGACAAGTGGAGTCAATAAATATGGATTGTCAAATCAGGATTCATTCAATAACTATAACTACATGGGGGGACAACAACAGCCGCAGCAAGGTTACATGCCTAACAACCCTAATTATCACAGGTCCAGGTCATACAGCCATGAGGAAATGAAGAATACCTCTGTTCCTGGAAATGGCTACACCCAGTCGTCTCTGACTCAGTATGGATCACTAAGTGCCAGTCGTACAGCCTCCAGGAGCATGTCTGAACCTTACAATCAAACTAACATGACTCAGTATGGCAACTCCTATCCGACATCTGCCCAGGGAGATCCACACCACGTTTCACCAGTGCCTGCAGATTTCTACAAGGGTTCTGATTCTCAGCAACATAGTGGCCAGATAACTGATGATGACCATATGAGGTCTAAGGAAATGGGCAGTGAAAAAAAAAAGCTGAATGCCACTGATGTGGGAAGTCAGTTTTCTAAAGCCAGTGTTCAGAGCAATATTAGTGGAGAAAGTGGGAAAAGGTGTATTTCGGGGATATGTGACAAGGACATGTGGGATGAACATGATTGTAGTTTGACTCCTGCTCAGAGGAATCAGGACAACCGTAGTCCTTCATTGAGTGTAACAGATTCTCAAAAAAGTGAAAATAGTATTTCATGTATTACTGCCAAAATGAAAGACAGTAAATCATCAGAAAATAAAGGTTTACAAAAAAAACTTGTTTCTATCAAGGACTGGTGCATCAAAATGGACAGTCCATCAGGACTGAATAAAAGTACTGATTCTTCAACCGGCAGTTTAAAATCATTGGAGGACATGGATGTTGATCAGAGATGTGAAGAGAAGCTGTCGTTAATACTTCACACTGACAGTGAAATATCAGAAGATAGTCCTGAGATGATGAGGAGTAGAAATAAATCTGAAAATGTGATGGAGATCGAAAAAGCTCCATCATTAGTTTTGGACAAAAATCCCATGACTAATGGTGAATTGCAGACTCAACTTCCAGGAACTTTACCTTTTAACGTGACCAGTGTACAGGAGCCAACTTCTCCAACACAACCAGATCAGGACTATGATTCCATGAGTTTACAACCTGGCCAGAAATCAAATTCTTCTGTGTCATCATCAAAAATAAATAAATTTGTTTCAGTAAACTCTTCACAGAGGGGTGGTGATTTGGACGTGGGTGGGGCACCCCCATCACAACTGAGTTCATCCCAGCTTTTATCTTGTCAAAACTCTATGAAAATTTGGACTCCTGCTGATAATCCACCAACGACTGATCATGTTAAAAAGAGTCTACAGGAATATGATCTTCCAACAGTTCGGCACAAGAAAGCCTACTTCAGTGATCCAAGAGATTTGCCTGAGAAGTCTAGGTATGATAAGTAGAGAACTCTTGTATGAAGATTACACAATTATGAAGAATATGACATGAAACATTTGTATATAATTAATTACTGTATTAACATTGAATTTAGATGAATAATTGTTTTATAATTGTGAATGCAATTGGAAAGAAGCACAGAAAAGCACCTTGCAGATTTCTTGAAAGACATCTTGGACTTGTGAATATATAAAAATTTGTTTTGTTTGTAGCGAAGTTGGTGGAAGACAGACTAAGTTGCACTCTGTTCTTCCCATGGAGCTACCAGAGTTTGAGAGTAAATTGTCCCATAAAGGTCTTGGGAATTGGAAGACTGTTATTGCTACCACAGAAGCCATGATACATGGAACACAGTATGTTAGTGCCAGTGATAACATTATTGAAGAGATAGAAAAAAATCCACATTTGAAAGCAGCTTACATGGGGAATCAGATTGCAGTATTAACACCTGCTAAAGCACCACCGCCCAAGGTGAAGGTTCAGGCGTGGCTTCAGGAGAAGATTACCAACAAGTTGAAGCTGAATCAAAAGTCTCAAAAGGATAATCAAGAGGATAAAATTGAACTTGTATATGAGGAGAATAATGATGAAAATGTTGAGGATAATAAAATATTAGATAAAACACCATGTGAGGTGGATCAGAGTAGTAAATTGTGTCAGAGTTTTGAATCAGAATCTGACTCTGAAGAGGAAGATACTTCTGTTGATGTTATAAGTCCTTCACCAGAAGCAAAAAAACGTAGGTCTTCCCTTTTTCTGTTTTCACGCTACCAACAAAGTTTGCAGGATCCAAATAGTAATGCAACACCAGTGAAAAGTGCATTCCATGACGTTACAGCGAGAAAGAGGAAAAGTGAACAATCTCCAATAACTGTATCACAGGAACATGCATCTACACCCACTGGGTTATCAAGGGCAATACTGGGAGATGCTTCTTCATTTTCTGGTCCACAGCATAGCACACCAACCAGACTATCACGACCAATGCAGCTGACTTTACCAAGTTGCACACCCATACATTCACTGCGTGAAGGTGAAAGTGAAGGACAACCATTGAAGGCTAAACTTTGGGAAAAAAAGTCTAGTGGAACAAAGAATTTACGGAGAGCATTATTATCCAGTCAGTTAAAGGTAAGGATTATTATTTTGAGGGTAATGATTCAGATTAGATAGAATATGAGGTTATTGGAGGATACCTCAAAGACAGTACAGCAAGAATATTGACTGATGCACAACAGAAGTCGATGCGATGGCGTACTGTCCTTCCAAAGAAACATGGGGAATGCAGAAATCCAAAATGTTTAGAACAGAATCAGCAAACTTCTTTGTGTGGAATCTGGTCAAACCCTGGTGGCTGCCGTGTTTGTTGTGATTATTAGAGGACTCTTACGGATGAAAATACCCTGTAAAATACCACAAAATTCTGACACACTGTAACTTGTGGTGTTATGGTGACAGATGTATAATAATACTATTTACTATTACAGTAGAATCGTGTGTATCCTGAGGTATTAAATTTGGCATTCCTTCACAGTTTCATATCTGACTAATCTAAAGTGTAAAACATCACATTTCAAGAATGAATTTAGACTTTATTGTGCAGACCATGTATGTTTACTCACAACAATGGAACTCAAATAGAAGATTACATTGCGTTCAGCTGAACTGTTTTATCACAAAGAAATTTATTTTTTGAGGCAAAGTTGCAATTCAAAAACATTTGATTTCGCTTTGAAAAATACCCATAATTCTTTATTTGCAAAATAGTATATTAAGCAATGCAAAATGTTTTTTAATTTTTACAATTTTCGCTTGTTTGCGAAAATAACCAAATTAAAATTTTGTGAATTGTTTTTTTTACTACATGTATAACTTTTTTAGGAGGGGTTGAATCAGAGTAAATTGTAAATTTTTTCACCTGAAAATGTAAGATATGTCAACCCCAAATTTTGGTTTTCAGGAATACTCTAAACTAACAAAGCTTTCATGATTGACTACATGTTAATTCAGCCATTTTGAGTATACATTCTGACATATGAAATTCAAGTAGCCCTAATGAAAGTAAATACTTGAGAATTGACTATTATTTTTTTTTATTCTGTTTTGACTTAATGAACCCAAATTCATGAGGTAACATTTTCACACATATACTGTAAGCATAAAAATATGACATTACTTTTTTCTTGTTCCCAGCATCAGCTTGTGACCCCAGTGAATCGCCAACTGTCAGACGTCTCTCAGATTGATGGAGCCACTCCTAATAACACATGTGGTTTTAAAGTTAGTATGCAGAATTTACAGGATGCCAAATCAGTGCAAGAGGTTTGTCAATAATACGGTATACTGTAAACCTAGTTATTTTCACTGCCATTTAAATAATTATATTTTGAGCTTATTCAGAGTTTTAATTTCATGATTTTTCAGGAAAACAATGAATTCTATTTACATGTTCATATTCATTTAGTGGATTTTACTTATCAGCGAATTCAACAAGATTAAAAACCCAGTGAATAATTAATGCAGTATGTGCTACAGTCACTGTCATATTTTTAAAAAAAAACATTATCAGCTCAGTTACAAAGTAATTTGCTATGCACTTTTCAAGATCGTTACATCGTAGAACTATTTAGTTAAAATCATTTTTACAAAGGTGTGGTGTTCGACTAAATGCATGCATTTACAAGCGTTATGACACACAACAGACACATCAGCAACTGTATCCTGACATCTCAGACTGTGGCAGTACAAACATTTTGTTTGGATAACATTGCCATTATCATATAGAAATTTATACGATTGAAGAGAATAAATTGAAAGGCTGTTGCACCTTAATCTTCTGTCTTTATTTAACAACGTCTCTTGTTCTAATCATATGTAACGTTCTCCAGGCGCATATAGCAAACCAGTCGGTAGCTTAGCTAGCATTGCTACTCTTTTGGTGCTTGGAATAGTAATGACAGTGAACCTTGAAATTCTTGTGTGTTTGCTGCTTTTCATCAGAAAATCTAGATATTGCATTTCTAAGTTAGTAAAAACAGAAAGTACCGGTAATGTCGCAAGTATAATTTATTTTGTCATTTCTGTCATTACAGGTTCAGCACCTCACTACTATGATCATGGAATTACAGATCAGAACTCGAAGAGATTTCCATCCAGATCCGGAGATGGATCCCATTCAGGCCATCTTTTACCAAATCCACTCAGATTTCCCTGCAGCATCTGGAATGAAAGCTGATATCACTGGTGTCATTGTAGTAGATCCCAGCTTAGCCAATCAAAAAGCAGCTGACAGCGACCCTAGCCCATCCATAGTAACTCCATGTTGCCAAGGCCAAAGGTCATTGTTAAATAGGTCAGGGGTGAATGATCTTGAGGTTGACTATGTGACAGCCGAGAAAACCATATTTATTGAACTTCTGAAACTTGTCAGAAAGTAAGTAAATAAAACTCAAGTCATTTTGATTTCTGTGAATGTCACCTTGACTAATGCAAGTTGTAAACCATTAAATTTTTACTTGGAATACCAAATTACTAATATTGTATGGTTTGCCAATTTGCTGGCAATATTGCTGATTTGGTGTTCTATCCATTATTATGGCAGTGAAGTGGCTCTATTGTCAGAACTGCATGTACATAGGAATGTCTCACATAAATATTGCCAGGAGCTAGAAAACAATGCATTTTTGGACTACGAGTGCCACCATTTTGTTCGTTTCACAAATTAACAGACAGCTCATACATCTTCAGCATCTTCAGAATGTTGTTTAATGATAAGGCAATCATTTTCAGGCAGACAACAGATTGAAAATAGTTTAACTTTGAATAATGTTTCATTTTGATCAGTGCTGACACACACCTGCATGGTGCCATCTTGAATTTGGCTTAACTTGCACATGAACTAATGTGTTTTGACTTTCTATTGTAAGGCCAGTTCTACTCACTTGCCTGCTTTGACATGCTCAATTCTAACTACTGTCACTTCAAGGCCGTTCATGACATAATTCCAAAAACATCTTGATTTTGTGTCTTGAGTGTAAAATTTACTGATTCAAAGTTTTTTTTAACTTCGTGACTTGCAAATTTTATTTAAAAAAATGAGTCTTTTAGAATTATTTTATTGGCAGTCGTAGCAACATAGTGTTTGATATGGGTTCTGTGCAACACATACAAAACATAAAACACTTTATGTAAAACACTTTATTTTCGCTTGGATTTTATTTTCACTATTTTCCGCTGAAGAGACAATTTAATGAAAATAAAATCTAGCGAATATACAAATGTACATTTTTTCCTATATTTAGTCCCCATTCGGACGCAATCCGAAAACGGGGGCTTATGTTTTGACCTCAGTGCATCAGTGCTTCTGTGTGTGCGTCCGGACGTGTATCTTAGAAATGCCTGGACCAATCACAATCAAACTTTACACATACATCATGCATTACATTATACATATGCACATCAATTTGTTTCACAATCTGACTCAAGATGGCTGAATGGCGGCCATTTTTGTGCTAAAAATCTTCAAAATCAAGCATTTCTTGGCTGTTTACAGATGGATTTTGTTCAAACTTGGTATATACATTAAACATTATAGGACCTTGATGCACATCATTTTGTTTTACGATCTGATTCAAGATGGCCGAATGGTGGCCATTTTTGTGCCAAAAAATCCTAAAAATCAAGCATTTCTCGGCTGTTTACAGATGGATTTCGTTCAAACTTGGTACATACATTAGACATGAGTTTCTGATGCACGTCATTTTATTTTTCAGATTGGATTCAAAATGGCTGACTGGCGGCCATTTTGTTTTAATGATTGGGCTTCTACGCCATATCTCTTAAATGCTTTTACTGATTATATTCAAATTTTATATATTCATATACATCATGTTATATATATACATGTGTTCAAAATGGCTGATTTTGAATGCTAGTCCAGAGCAATATCTCTCAATATGGACAAGTACTTGTTTGTCGATCAGACACAAATGTCAATCATTTTAATGTTAAAAATCATATTCCTGACATGGTTATATTCCAGCTATATTATTATAAACAAAACTATATATCTTGAATTTGATGACGAACGGGGACTGTGCCATGCATGGCTTGTTTACATTCAATTCATCAAGAATCAGTGAAAATAAACTCTATACAAATCATCCAAAAAGTCTTTTCAGCAAATATTAATTCCAGCTAAAATAAAGTATTTTACAGTACATTGTTTTTATGAATTCATATAAAATATGCTGTATATATTATATTTTCAAAATTGTAATTTATCTTTAAAAATTTATCTTTTTATTCAAAGATGGGATCCAGACATACTAGTTGGTTATGAAATCCAGATGTTGTCATGGGGATTCCTTTTAAAAAGAGCAGCCATTTTCGATAATGATTTCTGTCCAAAGCTATCAAGAATTCCAGGTTGGTGAAAGCTTTGTAAACCACACAAACAAAATTATACACGTCTTTTAGTATTATGGAATGGAATGAAATAGAAAGGAGCTATTTGAACAAATTCTGTTTTGATGTCTCAATAATTGTGTTTTTCTGTAGACTGCAAGAGAGACAGTCACTTTTCATCAGGTCGTGATGAATACAGAGCCAATCATTTGTCAGAAATTCATATCGCTGGGAGAATAGTTATTAATTTATGGCGTCTGATGCGCCATGAGGTGAGTTTTGTAAGATTTCACGATAGCTTCAACTTCAGCAATATTTTTTTTATAATATATAAATTTTACTCTATGCATTCTTTCCTTATTTGCAAAATATGTGTCAGAATTCACATCACATGCAATGTATTTTGTAATTTAAATTAAATCATGCAGATCACATAGAAACTGGGTGGCATGGTTCTCGCAATGTGTTTTTTTTGTCGGCTTTACAAGTCTTATCAGCAAATGATGTAAAATATCAAGATGAGTTGACAGCTTTCTTATACATTGATTGTGATGTGGGATGGATGGTTTTCTAGAAATGTGTATTTGTGATCAGCTTGCGACTTTAAAGTGCTACAGTCATGATTGATGTGGGACGGACAAATATTGATGTATACATCGCATGTAAACATTTGCCATGGTACTACACCATTAACTTGATAAACAACTAAAATGCTAATATAGTTTATACATATTTACTGATTATTATCCACAAATTTTCTTCCCCAGGTTACTTTAAATATTTACAATTATGAAAATGTTGCATTTCACGTCCTCCATCAGCGTCATCCACGATATTCATTCCGTACATTGTCTGACTGGTTTGATCATAAAACCGATCTTTACAGGTATGTTCTCTTACTGTTTCTTAATCCCCTCTTTTTACTCTCATCCGTCCCTTTACTCTCATCCGTCCCTTTACTCGCATCCGTCCCTTTACTCGCATCCGTCCCTTTACTCGCATCCGTCCCTTTACTCGCATCCGTCCCTTTACTCGTATCCGTCCCTTTACTCGCATCCGTCCCTTTACTCGTATCCGTCCCTTTACTCGCATCCGTCCCTTTACTCGCATCCGTTCCTTTACTCGCATCTGTCCCTTTACTCGCATCCGTCCCTTTACTCGCATCCGTCCCTTTACTCGCATCCGTCCCTTTACTCGCATCCGTCCCTTTACTCGCATCCGTCCCTTTACTCGCATCCGTCCCTTTACTCGCATCCGTCCCTTTACTCGCATCCGTCCCTTTACTCGCATCCGTCCCTTTACTCGCATCTGTCCCTTTACTCGCATCCGTCCCTTTACTCGCATCCGTCCCTTTACTCGCATCCGTCCCTTTACTCGCATCCGTCCCTTTACTCGCATCCGTCCCTTTACTCGCATCCGTCCCTTTACTCGCATCCGTCCCTTTACTCGCATCCGTCCCTTTACTCCCATCCGTCCCTTTACTCCCATCCGTCCCTTTACTCCCATCCCTCACTGTTTTTGCATCCTCCACCAATCTCACAACTCTTGCTGATATCAAACTATTAAAAATATCATATACACATTCAAAATTAACACTCATTATAAATAATATTTATATTGGAGGAATGAATGACACAACTAACAAAATAAAGATGGCTACCATCATAGAAATATAAATTTCCTTACTGTTCAACACATTTTTCTACTATCAGTATTAAAATGGAAAATAAATAATTAAATGAATGTTTATTATACAGATGGAGAACAGTTGAATACTACACATTACGGGTCAGAGGTCAACTTCAGATATTAAGTCAGCTGGATTTGATTGGTAGAACCAGTGAGTTAGCGAGGTTGTTTGGGATTGAATTCTATCATGTCTTGTCAAGAGGATCTCAAGTAAGTGTCAAAGGTCATTCATATATAGGTCAAAAGTTAGATTTTCATTTTAAATTATATCGCATTTTACTGCAATTGTTAATAATCTTATTTATTTGAAAATGGTTGTGGAATTATTGCTGTAAGTATTAAAATCTTGCATAAAAATAATTTCATAAAATGATAAAATTGTACAATATCTGTACATACATGTTGGAAAAATACTGTAACATGTGAAATGTTGGTTGCTATGAATTTTAACAATTTGAATTTTAGTTTGGACTACATTTTGCAAGATTATTTCATTTTACTTTTAATTACATTCTTATAAATCTGTCTCTTGTGTACTTGAAGGGCGTTGTGCCATGTTCTGTTTTATATGGGACTCAGCGATGCACACAATATGTGTAATATGTTTACATTAAATTTGAACATGTGCTGTGTGACAATCATCTTCTTTATAGTACATATTCATGGTGTTGATATGCATGTATACTGTAAAACATGTTGAAAAAGCGACATGCAATTTTGGCGAATTGTGGTAAAATGACGTAATAGCAAAATGTTGATTTAGCGAATCTCTTGTCATTGTTGATTTCTTGTTTTCACAATACTTGTTTGTCACATGTCAAAACAAATGAGCAGTTATCACCTCCATAAAAACAAAGAAAAACTTTCAAGTGTAATTAGGAAGCGCCCCAGATTTTTATGTTCCGGATTACTGTATACAAATCCCCAAGTCTTGGCCATTTTTAATTTATAATAAAGTCATTAGCGACATCTTGAATTAGCAATTCAGTTCTTTTGCTAACAAGACATTCTCACGAAAAGACATGTTTTACAGTATTTGACATATGCACAATTCCATGTGATGCAATTTCAATGTTCATCACATGTTATACATACCTAGCTACCGGTATATTTTGTCTTTCTTTTTGTTGACAGTATCGTGTTGAATCAATGATGTTACGAATTGCTAAACCAATGAATTACATAGCTGCATCTCCCAGTGTACAACAGAGGGCAAGGTAAGAATCTTGTTGTATGATGTCATTTGATTTATATGCATATGAATTGACAGCTCAACATTCCACAAATGACCCTGTCATTGCTCAAACTAGTCTGAATACATCCTGTCCACCAGAGATGAGATACAACATTTACCTCATGGTTTATATTTTTGTCTCAGGTTTTATATTGTTGTGAGACAAAAATGTAGGAAATACAAATTAATATAGTATAAAAATTCAAGGAAACAACTTAGTCATTAAATACATCATGAATTGTAAAATGCCAATCTGCACAATAAGGACATAAAACATAAACTTGTTCACTGCCATTGTGAAATTGTTTTAATTGTCAGCCGTGTGCATGGTATCATCAACATTTAAACCTGATTTTGAATCTATTTGAATTTGGCATGAAATTTACACATACAAATTGTATCCTTAACAGTCGGAGGTTTCAAAAGTAGAATAGTGAACACATTAAAGTCAAATCATTCTGTGTTTTCTACATTCAGGAGTAAAGCACCAGAGTGTATACCATTGAACATGGAGCCAGAATCCAGTTTCTATTGTGATCCAGTTTTGGTGTTAGATTTCCAGTCTCTTTATCCCACTATGATGATTGCATATAATTATTGTTTTTCAACGTGTCTAGGAAGAGTCAAGTACATAGAAGAGTAAGTTTCTTTCTTAGTTGTTATGGCAACAAGTTTTCCCCTAAATTTTTTATTATATCTGGATACATATGCTTAGAAAATGAGTTTGTATGATTTGTACAGAAATCTGCCTAAGCCACATACTAGAGGTTGAGGTTTCCATGTTAAGTTTCAAATTGATTTTGCTGTTAATTGATTTGTACATAGTTATGTATTCATTGAAGTTCTCATGTTGTATTGTAAGCCTTATTCTTTGTTATGAGAGTACCCGATGGTTGTTGCAGCTTACATCTGTGTGCATCAATGCTGCTGTTGTTTGCATGTAAAGTTCTCTCTTTTCACCTCAAATTCACAAGTAATCTAGTTTATAGTCTGCATTTTCCTTCAATAGATTGGGACAAAAATTGCCAATAATATTGAAGAATATAAACAAAAAAAGTGGGTCTGTGTGGTTGTTGGGTCTGTGCGAATTCAAATTTAAGGTTAATAAATAATGTAGTTTAACCAAAATGTATGTTATGTATAGTATGGGACTCCCTGGCTATGTTTGTTTGATTTTCATGCGATTATGCCTTTTCCAATTACAAACAGGGACTATATCATTGACGATGACCTGTTTGTTTTCGTTGCTTATGTTCTTTATTATTTATTCTCATCAGAGGTGGAGAAATTCCATTGGGATGCTTGTCTTTGAATAGTTCACCTGGGTTGATACGAAAACTGCAAAAGAAAGATGGCATACATGTGTCACCCAATGGTGTGGCTTTTATCAAACGGAATGTCAGGAAAGGTGTACTCCCTAGGTGAGTGAAAAAAGTAATCAAACAATTCATTGGTGTGTTACTCATTTAGCTTGTAGGAATGTATTACATAATATGTGTATTGTATTTGTTCTATTAGAAGCATATGTGAACTAAAAAATTCATTTATTGTATAATAGATCCTTAAAAAATGTTGACCATGGACACACATATAGCAGAATTATTGCACTAATATTGCAGGAATATCATTTGTTTATTCGGACTGAGGACACATGGGGTTGTCTGTCTGTCTCTAATTCCCAATTCTCGAGTTCCCGGTTTTTGCTAGAAAGCCACTAGAGGGCTATCAAAGTACCCGGATGACAACTACTGTCACGGCTCTGAGTGGGGTCAAAATAACCACAGCTTTGGCGTTTATTTTCTGATGAAAGCAAAGTCAATTTCTTCGCTTACTTTAGAGGACGTAGTAATCACAATGGTAAATTGGTATTGCAACGCTCCTGGCTGTTCTTCCAGTGCCATAAAAAAAAACATGCCAGTAATCAACCATATGAAAAAACTAACATGTTGGCCAGCTCAAACTCTTGCAAATCTCAGGTAAACAAGACACACCTACTGTATTTGGATTGCACCAAGAGAAATCACTGGAAAAACACCAAGATTAGAACATCCATTAACACACAGAATAAACCCACAGGTACACAGCCGCTAAGTAGTAAACAAAAGACCACATGTTGGTCTCACCTCTGACCCAGGTGATTACGCCCTCAAACAGGGAGCACCTGAGAAAAATAATATTTAAAAAATTTCATTGGTTCTTGCTGGGCATTTAAATTGAGAGCTACGAGCCAGCCATTGGTTAATTAGTGGCATGAGACCTCATACACGCTATTAGCATTCTATGACCTCAATTGACCCATCAGCCTCATTCCCAACTTGATACTGGAATTCTCATTTTTTTGATGTATTTAAAGTTTTTTACCCGGATCGTTTTAACCATTTCAATAAATAGTTATAGACTATAATTGATTATGCGAAATTACTGCATTTTTGGTGGTTTTTGGCCTACTCCTCTCACTGTTATGTTAGAATTACTGCGAGAGTGCCTCCTATGGATGTCAACATGGCGGCTCACAAAGTTACGTTCGGT